AAATAATGAGACATGCTAAAACACAGAATTTGGTAACAATTAATTAAATTAATTAATTAAAATGGATGTTTAATTTCATAAAGTACAAGTTGATTTCAAAATGCACCTACTTTTTTGCATTTTGTGTTTTTCAGTTGAATAAAGACTACAAATTTATTTGGGGATGTTGACACAACAGAAGGCTTCAGCAGTAATTTAAATGAGCTTTAATTTTTCTGCAGAATAAACTACAATTACAAATATGTCTGATTTCCAAAACAGATTGCAGCTTTGAATGATTTTATATGTGACTGGGCTTGAAAACTTTGTGGGAAACATAAGGCAATTAAAAAAACAAAAACAACACATTCAGGGCTTTACTAAAAACATTTGGGGCTTAAACCTCGGAAGCCCTCCCGTAGTTCCCCATGCCCATTCTGTATATGAATTTTTTTTTTTGCACATCTTTTATGTGTTGCAGTATCTATAGTGATGCAGTACAGTAAAAAGTGCTGTTAGTTAAAGTGCTTATCAAAGCAATAGTACACGCAAGAAGGGTTGCGGAGTGATCAGTGGTCGGCTTTAGAGATCTTATAGCACAAATGCTTTTTCTCAGTTAATTAACGTGGCTCCTTTAGTAAGCTTAAGACATCAGGGAGCTTGGCATTAATTACAAATCTACACATTTTACTTACAAACGCACACAGATAAAGAAACATTTCTGGAAGATCTTCTGGGATTTAAATTTTCTCAGTTAATTAATGTGGCTCCTTTAGTAAGCTTAAGACATCAGGGAGCTTGGCATTAATTACAAATCTACACATTTTACTTACAAACGCACACAGATAAAGAAACATTTCTGGAAGATCTTCTGGGATTTAAAAGATGTTACAAAAAGTACATTTAATACAAAACCATTCAAAACCAACTGAGGGCTGGTTTACTCAACATGTGTTAACTGTGTCACAGGATTTACAATTCGTTGCAACAGTTACAGACCAGATAAAAAAACAAAAAAAAACAAAAAATAAATTAAAAAAAGTAAAAAAAAAAAACAATTGGGCAAAATTAATCTTTATAAAAAACAGTTACATGTTACGGTGAAACATTTACAATGGAAAGTGAATGGGGCCAATTTTGGGGGATTTAAAAAAGAAATGTGAACTGATTTGATAAAATATCACTGAAAAACTAATAATAACAATATCAGTAACTATTCTTATTATTGTGTCTCATTTAAAAAAGAATGATAAAATTAATAAAATATAAAATGATTATAATTATTTAATTAAAAAATTTGATGTGTGAAGATCTCATCAATTTCACTGTGATTTTAGGTTTAACATTTAATTTTTCATTTTTACATTTGCGAAAACGGACTATTTTACCATTAAACAGTACAATTTTTGTAGTAATCTACATTATGCCACAAGTGCAGTCAACTGACTTTGAACTGAGAATATTCCTTTAATATTACTATGAACTGGAACGGTCCAACAACATGAAATAGCTCACATGTAATTAATTCTCTCTGTATAAGATATACAGAAAGAAGCAGCACAGAAATTAATATGAAAAAGACATTTATTTAAGGGGGATATATAAAACAAAAAGTCAAGAAGCATCAGAGGAGAGAAGCAGAGGTCTTTGTGAGGCAGATGAAAGTGACTCATCAAAGAGAGCGACTGTAGCTATGCCATTCCAGCTACGTCCCTTCTCTCCCCGTTCCCTTCTCTCTTGTTTAAGAGATTGGGTGTATTTGTACAACCAGCTCTCTGCAAAACATCAAACAGGGCTGCAAGACAAAGGATGATAGTGATGTTTTAAGTGGTTGGGGGAATGCATGTGAGCACACAGCGCAATTGTTCGTATACGTTTGTGTCTCCATTTGATTCTGGTGACTAGGCTTGCCGCGATAGACGGTGCTGACGGTGATACCGGTGTTAAGCCGCAACACCGGTTATGTCACTTGCCCATCGCGGCACCGACCCCCACCGTCGTTTTGATTTTTTATATCATAAAAACTAAAATCATTTAGTTCAGTAAAAGAACAGACACTACAATTAAAAACTGAACGCAGTTCAGTCTCGGCCTCCCCCTCCCCTTCTATATCACCTAGCGGTTGTAATTACATCAGCAGATTCGGCACATTCGCGATAGAAAAGCGGCGCTTTCACGTTATGGTATTACAACTGTGAAATTACATACAAAAAATACACATTCTGAGACATTAACTGAAATGAATTGTGAATTTTATTAACATTAAATCGTCCTCCTCCCATTTTCACCTCAAAATTATGGGGAAGCTGTGCCTCCCCTGCCTCACCTGACGAGCCGCCACTGGTGATTTGACAGTGTTACCCGCCACAGCATTTTTACCCGCATTTGGCGGGTTGGCGGGTGTTAATTTCAAACCCTGGAGGTGAGACAGACAAGATGATGGCGGATGATTTAATTTGGAAACGAAATGCAAAAGCGCCTGTTTGGCAGTATTTTGGAATTTGAAAAGCTTGTTGACTTTTGCCGTTTATCTAAGGTGATTTTGGAAGTTTTTTTAAACATTCGTTTCTTATTTAATTGGTTCCACATTGTTTGCTGATTTTTAATTTATTTAAACTTTGTGTCATTTATTTATTTATTTTTTACATCAAGGTGTATGACGTGCCTCCAAGCTTTCTTACTCGTTTTGCTAATAAACGTTCTACGTTTCTTATTTATTTGATTATATATTATACATGTTTACTTCATATGTAAACATACTTAATATGCCTATTTCCAGTTTTGTATACCTATTTAAACTTTATGTAAGTTATTTGGTATTTTATATTAGGCATAGCCTGCCCTATAGCATGGTGTATTTTTATTTGTTTTGTTAATAAAAGTTCTATGTTTTATATATAGGCTAAAGTGAGTGATGTTGTATTTTGTTGTTGCATTCAAGATATAACTGCCGCTAATTCGAAAGTGAAAGTAAAATACGCACGGCGCTTTTAAGCTATTTAAAAGTGAAGGAAAGCAAGGAAAAGAGGGAACGCCCCCGCCCCCACGGTGATACTGGTATTACCGGTGTTGTCACATGTCGATTAACCGGTGGGAAAATTTCCTCACCGTCACAACCACTGGTGATGTAGCCTATTCCACAGTATGTAATAAGCTCTATTTAAACAATTTCATCCTAAAGATCCCGAACCCGGTTCAGTGGTCTGATGAAAGCGCATTAATGAACTGATTTTTGATTTCTCACCATAATGAGCGTGTTTCAAAAAGAAGCAGAGATTGCAATTAGAACAGAAATGGACACAGATACAAGGGAGCAATTAGGCTGTCTTATTATAATCATCATCATTATAACCAGCTCATGTAAATTTACTTATTTTTGGTTAAGTACAATTCCATGCAAATGTCAACCTTTCTGTTGGATAATGAAGTGTTTACCCAAAGTATGTTACCTAGTTTAGGTCTCAATTTGACTGTATTAATGCTTTCTAATGGAATTATTAAAGGAAATTTTATTGTTTACCCCCAACACAACTAGTGCAACCACAATAAAGCAAGCTATGTTTGATGGTTTCAAAAATAGGGATTTTTACTTTATCTTCTCAATAGGTGTCTCACATGGTCATGTTTACACACCATCTACATGAAAATTTGCAAAGGACACAATCTTGCGTTTAAAAATATAAATCAAAAATTAAACAAAACTGAACCAAAGGCACACATATAGGCACATTTTCTCCTATACATCACTTGTAATTTTTCTTTTACTGTTACATCTAATGCAAACACTTGAAATGCTCAAAATGCTTATTCTGTCCTAATTGGTCCCTTGTTGTAAAACTAAAGTCTGGAATACACAACACAACTTTTAAAATCAGAACAGATGTTAAAACACTAGCATTGTACATTGGCAATTTTTTTAAATGGTTAGAAAGAAAAATTTGGGCATCATACGCTAAACAATTGAAGATCACACGCTACCAGACTTTCAGTTCATTCAGAACACAGCAAATTTATGCAGAAACATGAGCCTTATTGCTAGGAGATGCATGACAAATGAAAACACCTCACAATATCAAACATGTTCATTATACTTAGAGTTGTGTAGTGTATAGATGTCAAGGACATCTGTCTGGCACATATGAATCTTAAATAAAAGCACACATTGAGAACACTTCCTGAGTGAACAGCCCATTAGAGGCTTTTATAACTAATAATGTCCATATTTCCCTAAAAAGACAATACTCATCACAAACACAGGAGAGCCAAATTTTCATTCTGTAGGTATTGTTGTTATTGGATTCTGGAAGTCACAGAGTGCATACAAACAATAAATGTTCATTTTTGCCCATACCCCAAGTTAATCTCTCTAAAATGAGAAAGAAATCTACAGAGAGATCTGCAGGGGTTTAGAAAAATGCATACAAATGGTTTCCTATAATTAGTACTTTCTCTCAGAAACTACATTTCACATTGTGACTGCAAATGTCACATGCGTAACACTAGAATTGGCCTTTCACAAACCGTCTGTAGCAAAACATGCCAAACTATTGCTGGTAATTAATTGATGTTCGCTCAACATGTTGAGGATACAAAACCCTGACAGCCACTGAAGCAGTTTCCCTCATCCTTCTTTCTTTCTTTTCTCTTATTTCCCATTTCTGAAGACTAGCCCTCCCCTTTCCCTACTCCCACTCTTAAATCTTTCCATCTTTTGTCCAAAAAACAGCTTTTGACCCTTTAAGAAGTTGAAAGAAAACCAGAAAGTGCAGATATGATTTGCGTATAATTTCAACATTCCTTTGACTCCTTCTGTATTTTCCTCCTTTTGTCATATATATTCTTTGGTGCACAAAACACTCACACACATCTACCATTGCACACAGACACACTTTAAACAGAAAGTGAGGACTTAAAATGATCTCTCTGCCCTGCTGTTCTCTGTATCTCTACTTTTTTCTCACTCTTGAATCTCCTTTCTTCTTTCAACACAAAGCATATCATACGCTCACGCACAAACTCACCCTGTTGAACGAAGGAGCCGTAGACAAACCACATGGAGTTGTAGAGGGTCGTGGAGGAGACCGAACCCATCGGCAGTCTGGGAGGGTTCAACCAGTTGAGGAGATACACCAGAATGCCCACCAGCAGCACTGTGCCGGCTATACAAGCCCACAGAGACAGGTCGAAAGGGGCCAGGCACGCAAACATATCCACCGTCCTCTCCGCCTTCCTCAGCAACACACCGACGGAGTAGTCCATGTAGCGAGTGGTGAAGTCTACCACGCTCTCCCGCTCAGGAGTGATGGTCAGGGCTGACAGACCTACATCTGCTCTCTGCCCAACAAAAAGACAAACAGAGAACTGACATTTAAAACCAGATCACACAAAGAACAGATTTATATGTGCATCACACTTACAGCATAAAACATGAAAAATACTGGGCCAATCCAAACACTAAAAAAGTGCAAATGAGAGCAGAATTTCACAGAAAACACACGTTAACAATCATATTCAATTCTAAAAATATAAAATGATTAAATTTTTTTTTTTAAATATTCACATTTTAAAATATTTATAAAAGTATTTGGTAAAAATGGATTCCAGTTTCCAGTGAACACTAAACAAATTAGCTGCAACAGAAAACCGGTGTTTTTTGCTACTGTGCCTTTACAGACTTCTGTAAATGCACTCTTTAAATGTGAAGTTACCTTTTTGCGAAAGATGTTTTTGCAAGTTAGTGTCAATTAATCTCTCTATGAAGAATGTTTTGAGATCCCTAAGTTATGTATATAATAAAACACATCACATAATCAAGGAAAATTAGATTCCTTATGATATAAGAACTTTAATATTGCCTCGGATTTAAATTTCAGTAGCAAAAATGCATTCGATTCATTAAATCAGTTAAAACTGGCTATATCACTGAAACATTAATTGAAGTCTCTGTGTGTTGTTTTTTCAAGTAAATTTGTTTTGTAATCTATATATATATATATATATATATATATATAAAATAAATTTTT